AAATAATATACAGGGTGTCCCGTTAAGCGTACGGAGCGGCTGTATCTCTAGAACGGTAAGGCCAAGAGGTTTGGGAAAAAAATCCTTATAAGCAAAGTGACCAAGAGAAATAGCTAGAAATTATTTTGGAGTTCGTAATTCGGCCGCTAGGGGGCGTAACTGCCATTGAGAAACATAAAATTCCCGCTATCTCAGAAAGTTAGACGATGAGCTATAACTTTGACAACATCATTTAATAACTTGGATAATACCGCATCGCTTTTGTTTTGCGATATTTCTCATATCTGTCATAATAAGGGAGGGGGAGGCCGATGCGTTTTCATATGTTTACATTTTAATATCTCCTGGACCATTCAACCGATTTGAATATTTTTGGTCTTGTTTGAAAGAGCATTTTATGTTCTTTTAAAAGATATTTTCAGTAAGACTGTTTGCTTTAAAACAAATAAGCTAGAGGGCGTTATCTGCAGCGACTACATATTTTTGTGATTTCTGAAGAAAAGTTAAATGGAATGATACTAGTTACTTCACAGACCCTTAGTCACCTTAAAATGTGCAAAATTTTAGTGAAAACCGCATCTCGATATCGCCACCCGTTCTCGAGTTATAGAAGAAAATGTTAAAAACTCTAGTGCCATCAATCGGATCCAGTTACCTCATCGAGAAAAACAAATCACATAACCATGGTAACTGTAAACATGTCATTTACTAACGCAAAAGCGTATGATGATTTATTTTCAATGTTTGGAATACGATGCAACTGCATGGCAAAAAATGTGCATTGCAATTACGACAAAGTAAGACATTTTTCTCTAGAAGTGTTTTTAAGATTGACTTAGCGATTACGAAAAACTGGCAACGTGTAGCGCCCATTCAGACATCTCTATGAATTCGTAAATCACATTGGTGCGCAATATGATCCCACATCATTTGGGAATTCCGAAAGCAATTGTCCACAAGATTCCTCAAGAGAATAATATCTCCACCACGTTGTTTTACATCAGGCCTTAACAGATACCGATTATGATAACAGACTGAACTATTATCATTGACTTTTAAATATGATTTCGGCAAATCCAAACCTTTTATCACAAATGCTATGGATGCATGAAGCATCTATCCACAAGCTGGTGTAAACTTGCATAATATGCATTCTTGGTTCGAGCAAAACCCACATTGCTTTCACCCCTTTATCTATTGGGTAGACTAAACGACCTAACTTTTCAAGAAAAACCAATAGCCAGGAAAAATATGACAAAACACTAAATACCAGTAGAAACGTGCCAGGGCCGAGACTTAAGCAGCGTTTTTTTTTTCGTCGAAACTAGATTAAATAAATGCATCGAGGTTTATGGAAGGCATTTCGCACATTAGTGAGCAATTTTGGCCAAAAATTTAAGTAATTCTAAGTGTTTTGGTTTATTTTGTTTTATTATCATTGTTGATGTTTCATTGATCCGTTGGCTTTTAAACTCGCCTCAAAAGTAGTCTTGAAGCAGTTCTAAGCTTGGATAAAGTGTGAACTTGGAAGGTTCTAGGTAATAAAATTTTTGTTCTGTCTTATTTGTTTCCTAAGGTAACTTGATCCGATTAAGATATACGAATTTTTAACATTTTCTTTTATAATTCGAGAATGGATGGAGATATCGAGATGTGGTTTTCACTAATATTTAGCAAATTTTATGGTGATTAAGGGTCTGTGAAGTAAATAGTACCGTTCCATTTAACTTTTCTTCAAAAATCACAAAAATATGTAACCGCTGCAGATAACGCCCTCTAGATTATTTGTTTTAAACCAAGCGGTCTTACTGAAAATATCTTTTAAAAGAGCATGAAATGCTCTTTCAAACAAGACCAAAAATATTTAAATCGGTTGAATGGTCCAGGAGATATTAAAAGGTAAACATTTGAAAACGCATTGGCTTCCCCCTCCCTTATTATAACAGATATGAGAAATATCGCAAAACAAAAGCGATGCGGTATTATCCAAGCTACTAAATGATGTTGTCAAAGTTACAGCTCATCGTCTAAATTTCTGAGATAGCGGGAATTTTATGTTTCTCAATGGCAGTTACGCCCCCTAGCGGTGGAATTACGAACTTCAAAATAATTTCCAGCTATTTCTCTTGTCCACTTTGCTTATAAGGATTTTTTTTCCCAAACCTCTAGGCCTTACCGTTGTCGAGATACAGCCGCTCCGTACGCTTAACGGGACACCTGTATATGCCAATAAATATTCTTCACATAACGTTATATTTTTCTCTGAAACACCTTAGTTCTTTTGAGTCAGGTTTATCTTGCCATAGTTTTTGCCATAGTTCGATTTTGTTGTTGATATTTGATAAATTGTAAAATTGGGAAAAGACTTCACCAGCTTCTACGAGGTCTTCAAGGGACATGTCTAACATTTGAGCGAGGTGTAATTTAGATAAGGAAAATGACGGGGTGTTTTCTTTAGAAAAGCAAACTTCAAGAGAATTAATAATCGAGTCTTCTGAGACTCGATTAGACGAGCTGAGAATTTTGAGGGGGTTTCTGCGTGTGGTTGTTCCGATGTTGTTGTCTTCCAACAACAGGTTCCATCATAGCCGAGTATTTGGCTATCAAAATAAAGCTGAGAATAAACGAAACTCTAGAAGCTGCTGCATGGAGCTGATAAGCATTTTTTCTAGTCGCATTATTTATTCTTATTTTCTTCCCGTGGCAAGGTTTCTAAGACCTCCATTATAATAGGATACTTCTTTTTAAACACTCTAATATTTTTGTGTTTCTCGTGTAGCGAACCGTAGGTTCAATTAAATTTATTGTTTGATTTTGTTTTAATTTTCAATTTTATGAAGGTTCTCTGTATGATTCCTACTTTAGTTTGGCGCAATCGTTTCTGCGAAAGGGTTTAAAAATCTCAGACGCGAGAGAAAAGGACAGTCCGAGAGCAGTTCCACTGGGGGTCCAGTGGAATCCAATTATTTGAGAATTCTGGCATAGTTCTACGAGAGCTCATTTGAGAGTTCTAGCGGAGTTCGAGTCGAACTCACTTTGTGAGTTCCGGGCGAGTCTAATTAGTCCTTTCGTGGGGAGTTCCACTGGGGGAGAGTTCCGTTGAGAGCCGTTCCACCGGAAAACCTGTGAAGTCTGGGCTCCTGTTCGAGTTCCAATACTTTGAGTCGAGATTGAGATCCTTGTTCCGTATCATAATGAGATTTTTAAACCTGTGTAAGTACTATTTTGTAAACCAATACTAACTGCTTTTGGTTCTGTTGATTGGTATGTTTTTCGTGTAATTGATTGACAAGTTTTGCCTAATAATTTTATTTGATTGGTATGTCTTTTGTTCTATAAATTTTGATCGATAAAGTTTAATTGATAGATTTTGTTCAGTAAGTTTTGTTCAATAACTTTATTTGCTAGATTTTGTTCAGTAAGTTTGTTCAATAATTTGATTTTGGTAAATTTAGCTTATTAAATTTTATTTGTAGTTTTTTTTATTCTTATTTTTATTATTTTTTCTCATGTTTAATAAATTTGTTCATTGTTTAATTTTTTTTTATTATTTAATAAATCTCATAGTAAAGATTAAAATTTGAATTTTCTTTTATTTTGACCAACTCTGCGTGACAAATTTCAATTTGTCGCATACGCATTGCACACCCGCACGTCAATGTAAGAGCCGCTCCGTTACACTCGCTCCAGCTTGTTTCGCAAAGCCTGGAAATATTTGGTATCAATTTGTGTCTCAAAACTGATTCTTGAAAAAATGTAATATCTTTGATGGTACCTTCGGTGTTCCGGATTTCAGACAGATTATTTAGATCATTAATTTTCTGCGTAGGATTGCTTGCACACCACCTTCTTTCCCGAACATCGTCGAACAACCGTCAAATCCTAAACCAACACATTTGTCAGGCAAGATCTTCTTCTGCCAAAACTCATCTATTGCTTTTGCAATACATTTCGCATCCAAAGCATCAAGCTTGACGAATCCGAGGAATACTTCTTGAACTTCCTTGGTTTCCTGATCAAAACATCGCATCCTAATCGATAGTTGTTCAGTACTCGAGATGTATATTTATTGTGTTTCAATTTTTTTTTTCGAATCTGTCTCTAGGGGAGGGCAACAGCCCCCCTCTGCCCCTCTCTGGCGACGCCCTAGTACCTATTATTTCCTAATATAAAGAATGTCCCGAAACTCAACGTTTCGGCTGCTACTATAGAAATCACAAATCAAACAAAAAATATTGGTTTGATTGAGTTAAGGTTGAAAGAATTTATGTTTATTAAGTTTAACATACGATTTCTAAAAAAAAGGAGTAGTACAACACCTTTGACAAGTTATTTTAACACTTTACCGACCGCTAGCGTATTAATCGGCTTTTTGTTGCCGACGCTTACCGACCGATCGCCTATTAATCGGCTTTTATATCGCGCGTACCTAAAACCAGCCGAACGCTTGGTTCCCACGGCGATAAATAATTTTTACTTGTTTAACTTGTTTTATTGAGATACATTGCTCACTTGCGTTAAATGCGTTGCTTCGTAAACTCAGATTTTCTTACCGTTTTTAAAAAATTTACCGTTTACGATGAGCGAAAAAAATTGTATTGGAGAGTTTTATTTAGACGATTTATCAGATTGTCCTCACAGTTCAGGAAGTGATAGTGGTGACGAAAGTGATTGCAGCGATATAATAATTCGAAAGCGGGGTTCTGTATTGCAACTAAGATGTAGTGATTCAGAAGACGACGAGATAAGTAACAACGAAGACGATACAAATAACATTGAAGATGACAATGATATATGGTTAACAGAAGATGAAGCAGTAATTTTGGAACCTTTTGAAGGCAGCCCTGGCATAAAAATTATGCCTTGTTCTACAGAAAATGTGATGGATAGCGTCAATTTATTTATTGGAATGGACTTTTTCGAGCATTTAGTGAAGGAATCCAACAGATATCATTATCAGATGATACAAAAGTATAAAATTCCATCAAGAGCGAAAAAGTGGACAGATATAACGGTAACGGAAATGAAAAAATTTTTAGGACTAATAGTTCTAATGGGTCAGGTAAAAAAAGACGTGTTCTACGACTATTGGTCAACAGATCCAAGTATACAAACTCCATACTTTTCGCAAGTCATGAGCAGAAACAGATTTGTGCAAATAATGCAAAGCTGGCATTTTTGCAATAACGACAACATCCCTCACAATGCACATAGACTTGCTAAAATACAGCCTGTCATTGATTATTTACAGCAAAAATGTAACGATGTATATAAGCCCAATCAGCAATTATCTTTGTGTCACAGGAATTTTCACGTGTATGCTGCTGATGGCAAAAAATTGGAAAATACGGTTTTAACGGTTATTGAACCATATAAAAACATATGGCACCACATTTATCAAGATAATTATTATAACAGCGTCAAGATGGCTAAAATTCTACTGCGAAATAAAGTGCGAGTGTGCGGAACCATTCGAAAAAATAGAGGTCTGCCTCCATCTCTACAAATATTACAACTTTCAAGAGGTCAGCACAAATTTCGTAGGAATCGTCAAATTTTGTTAGAAGTATGGAATAATGGCAAAAGGAATGTAAATATGATATCAGAATGTATAGAATTCTGCACAATTGACGGAATCCACGAGCAGAAGTAAAAGATCAAATGCCCCAATACAAAAGCCTAATTCCATCATAGATTATAATAGATATATGAAGGGCGTAGATCGCGCGGACCAATATCTAGCATACTATTCCATTTAGAAAAAATTTAGAAAAACAAAAAAATGGACTAAACGGGTTGTAATGTTTTTTATAAACTGTGCGCTCTTTAATTCATTTAAAGCATACACAGTTTTAAATGGAAAAAGTATTACGTACAAGAATTTCTTGCAGAAGGTGGCAGTTTCATGGATAGAAGATAATGAAAGTAATTGTATGGAACAAGATGACAATATACCTAGTTCTACACCCACAAGGAGAGCACCCAAATTTGACAATCCCGGAAGACTCTCAAATTTCGGACAACATAAACTTATAAATATAGTAACTAGCGGTAAAAGTGTGAAACCCCAAAGACAATGTAGAGTTTGTGCTGTTCAAAAGAAAAGAAGTAGAACATGTTTTGTTTGTAAATTTTGCAATGTTCCATTACATAAAGCTAACTGTTTTGAACGATAATGAAAAAATATTAATTATTTATTGTTTGATATACAGGGTGTCTCCGCGAGACCGGTCATTAGACGTTTCTGGGGTTCTGGCCAAAATAAAAATTTGAGATGTCAAGTTTAAGTATTATCAATTACGTTCTATTCGACTAAAATATTTTCAGATTTCTAGCACTTCCGGTTATACCGGAAGTCGGCAGCTACTTTATTTTTTTAAATGGAACACCCTGTATATTTTTACATGTTTCGATTTGTCTGTTCTCAAGGCTTATGAATAACTTTATTTTTTGCAATTTGATTCAGCCGTTCTCGAGTTATTCGATTTTTTCTTGAAAAATCTGCTCCAGAAGACATTTGTTCAAAAAATCAGAGAACACTTGATTTTTGAGATATCAATTTAGGATTCAGAACATGCTTAAGTAACATGATGGAGTATGTTTTGGTGCCGAGAACGGCTGTCTAGATCGTTTGGTCACCTTACCATGGCACGTTAATTTTTCGACATTTTGAAGTACCATTACTTCATTTTTTTAAATGGCACCCCCCATATTTTATTACTTAGTCGTCTTCGGCGTCTCATTTTACATCTTTTATACTCCATATGTCTTATGCCTAACATTAATAGTTTGGGAAGTAATTAGGGTTTTTCGAAAAATGCTCACATATCATATCGATATTAACTAGTGTGCCATGGAAAACAAATGTTTAATGACTTATTGACAAACGTTAAAGTCTGATTTACGTTGTTTGATGCTTGTGAATCTAAATCCAGTTAAAATGGATATTAATAACGTAAATAATGTTTATACAAATGAAGAAATCCTTAATTTATGTTTTATGCACGGAAAGTGCGACAAAGTTCTTAGTAGAACTTACAGAATGTTTAATGAATACTATCCACATTTACCTCCGATGACATAAGGTAAATTTAGAAGAATAGATGCAAATTTTTTGCATTTTGGACGAATTAATCACGTGTTAAACTGACCAAAAAATGTGGTAGATAATGCAGCGGAAAAGGTGAATACCATGGCTTATTTCGACCCCAGTCCCAACGCCTCAATTCGAGCTGCCAAAGAAGATCAGGGACTCATACTACAAACTTTGTCGCGCTTTTCATCTATAAAAAATAAATTAAGAATTTCTTGATTTGTGTAAATATTATTTTCGTTACTGTTATCGATTTTAACTCTTTTTAATACTAATATTAAGGGACCTAACAGATAATTATTAGCTCACATTCATCAAGTGACGTAAACAAGTGAGTCTTTGACAAGAACTCATTGAGAAGGCTTGTTTTCCATGGCATACTAAGCTAAATATCCATATGATATGTGTGCATTTTTCAAAAAACCCTAATTATCTCCCAAACTATTAATGTTAGGTATGGAACATATGGAATATAAAAGGTGTAGAATGAGACACCGAAGACGAGTAGGTAATAAAACGTGAGGGGTGCCATTTAAAAAAATGAAGTTATGGTACTTTCAAATTTCGAAAAGTTAACGTGCCATAGTAAAATGACCAAACGTTCTAGACAGCCGTTCGCGGCACCAAAACATACTCCATCATGTTACGTTCATTTATTTAACACTACTTTTATTTAACGAGTTTGATGACAATTTAAGACGTCGGCCATTTTGTTATTTTTTAAGAACGGTTCTAACGAGTTTTATTCTACTCTCTCTCTCTCAAATAATAAACGGGTTCTCTCTAATATCGATATTTCAGTCGATAACCGCAGTTATCTATTTTATTTAAAAGTTATCTCGTAAATAAGCCTTTGTAATAGATAAAATAAACATAATTTATTATTATCGTGAAAACAAAACATTTTATTAAATCTAATTATCCTATAATATGTACATACATACATTCCATAATAACAGATAGTGGACAATTCTGTCTGAGCCTACGAAACGCACAGATACTCCAGTGCGATGGTCTACTATCAGTAACTAGAGAGACATAACTTTGAAAAACTGATAACGGTATCCAATAAACGTAATTATTTGACATATTTTGGTCAAATTCGCGATGAAATTCACCCAGCCGTTTTCGATACAACGGCGTCTTGTTAAACCGCGATTTTCCGCGAAACTATATGGAATATCGAAAAAATAAAATATGGCCCTTAATAAGAACACATCAGGCTACCACCTATTCAAAATTGAAATTTTTACGTCAGATAGTTTTTGAGAAAAAAAAATCGCAAAATGGACAAAGAGCCGGCAACGTAAAAAATCGGGAACTTTTTTCATTCAACTCGCGATAAAAAGAAAACCGCGGATCCGAAAATTTTCAAATTAACATATGTTACGTAGAAATGTTCAGTTATTATAACAAACTTTTCCGCAATTTTTTTTATCGAGCGGTTGCGAAGATATCGATCTCTAAAGTGATTTTTAGCACGGATAGTAGACCGAAAAACAGCCGGCGCCAGGGAGAATCTGCGGCTGCGCGGCCGGTCGGATGTGCGTACGCTGTTGAATCGCGAGCGGTCAGTAAAGTGTTAAAAGATAACCTGTTTAGTCAAGATTCCAAAATGGTACAACACCAACAAAAATTATTGCCTGCTTTTCTGCAAAAAACACGTTATTTAAAAAATTCATACTATCGTATGTTATTTGTATTTCGTCCAAAATAATTTAATAACTTTGTTAAAAGATGTGCCACTCAATATCTATAAAGAAATGTGGTTTCAACAAGATAGTTGCCCCGCTCATTATGCTTGTCCTGTACGGGATTGAATACAGAATATCCCGAAAGAAAGCCGTCTTAATTGACATATATGGCTAAATCCGAATGTTTCTAGGATTAGTGTTAGTTTTACTTTTATTTCAGTAAAAATCGACAACAATTTAACGCTTAATAACAATTAGAACTGGAACTTATATTACACCTAGGACTAGAAAGTGAAGACGCACGGCTAAACCCGATATTTTATAGTTCAAGTTAGTGAATCTAGTTACTAACTAATTCTAGATGCACAGAAATGCTCAAGGATCAATAGATCCTGGGGAAAGAGGAGAGAATTCTTAACATGAACGAGATTCTGTACGAACCGGACATCTTACAAGCAAAGGTGGAGGAGGTAATGACATACTTAAAAAAAGCAAAATCTCCAGGATACAACGATAATATAATAGTCCTAATTTTTTACTCCTAACTTTTGCAAAATCTGAATCAACATGAACAAAGGATTGGTCTGCCTCTACTTTCATTCCTATACATAAGAAGAGTGCTGAAGTTTGCTGAAGTTCAGCGACTTCTAAAATATTTTGCAAAATCACATAACCTATTTGTGCCGTAACCCAACCTCATCTCTATTTCTAAAAAATCTCGGTATAACCTCATTATCCATAAAAAAAACGTTGCAACTCGAACGTTGTCGAAACTCAATGTTTCAAAGCATTTTTAATTCTATAATGTCTAAATGCAACCATACAGGGTGTTTTGAAACAACGTTTAAATATTTATAGGGGTAATACTACAGTCGAAAACAAGTCGAAAAGTGTTAATCAACATGGGTCCGAAACTCAACCCTTTTCGAGATACAGGATGTTCAATTTTTTTGGAACTCTACGTTTTTTCTTTTAAACTATAACTACTACAGATTTGATACTTGGCAAAGTGATGCAGTATGAAACTGTCTCTTTTTGAGAATAGTATGATGTTTCCATTGTTTCCGGTTGTACCGGAAGTGAAAATAAATACCACTATTTTTCAAAAAATTCAAAAATTTCATTTAACATTTGGTTAGATAGCTTAATTCTAAACAAGATTAATTCGAAAAAAAAATTTGTACTCCTTAAGTTAATAGTGGTATTTATGTTCACTTCCGGTCTAACCGGAAGCAATGGAAACATCATACTACTCTCAAAAAGAGACAATTTCATACTGCATCACTTTGCCAAGTATCAAATCTGTAGTAGTTATAGTTTAAAAGAAAAAACGTAGAGTCCCAAAAAAATTGAACATCCTGTATCTCGAAAAGGGTTGAGTTTCGGACCCATGTTGATTAACACTTTTCGACTTGTTTTCGACTGTAGTATTACCCCTATAAATATTTAAACTTTGTTTCAAAACACCCTGTATAAGCATGAATGTCTCAACCAGATAAGATTTTATTGCATACTGTAATCTCATCTGTACAGTATAGAGGTTACAACTCCAAGAAGAGTTAAGAAAATATGAGAAATAGTGTATTTCCAGATCATTATATAATAATAATAATAATAATAATAATAATGTTTATTAATCGGATAAGATATAATATATGTACAAATAGAAAAAATTATATAAAGGCAGTTCCGATTAAAGAGGGTCATGTCAGGTCGACCAAGTGACCAAGGCCCCTTTGTCGCACTGTTTTTCAATGACCCTCAGCAAAATAATAAGACAAAAATTGAAAAATAAAATTTAAATGAAATCAAGCCGATTATAAGCGCAAAAAAAAATTAACAAACTTAAAATACACAATAAGAAGC